ATATATTCATATTAGTGCAGATACTTCCATATACTTAAAAAAAAAAGTTTGAGTGTTTACTGTATTTTTACTTTTTATTCTCACATTTCCGGTGCATCTACAGTAGCTCGTTGTGTATGGTCTGAACTACAAGCTGAATAGAGATTATTACGTTTTGAACACTTTAAACCATTGATCTTATTCTTTAGTCTGCGATTACCTATCGTAAACTTTTTCGAGGCGGCTTTCGCAAAGCAAAAGCTGCTTTCATCCATGTGTGCATGGGAAGGCCTTTCTCGTTTTATTTTGATATCTATGCAGTTTATCCTTCTATTAAGTGCCCGCTCAGTTAAATTGTTTTCTCCATTCCTTAGTTATTTCGGCATTTTTTGTTCCTTTCATTTTATGTTGAAATAATTAGGGAGTTCTGGAATCACTCAAAACAATTATCCTCTTCATCGCTTTACGTCTCTGATTTACCCCTAAACGATGTATTTGGTTGTGAAGGGAATCCGAATCTTGCTTTTTTTCATTGTATGAGAATACAAATCTAGGCTCCAACTTTTTCTTTTTGAAACTCATACTCTGTGTTGACGAAAAAAAAAGAATCTATTTATTTTGTATTAGAATTAACGTTACTGTCCTTATTTTAAATCGTTTTAATTTAATTATTCAGAAATGACTATGCACAAATGGCAATTTTTCCGTATCTAGAAAAGCAAGCTTGAGCAACTCCATTGACTTAAGAGAAAAAGGTTTTGACCAGAAAACTAAAAAGTTAAAGTAGGGGGTAGAATAGGACAAAAAGTGTCGAGTTCTATATATTTCTCCGGTTAAAGAATGACCATCAGTTTCGGAATTTAACTATATCTATCACTCTATCTATCATTAAATAGATAGACATTGATGGAAAGAGGGAGTTATACATTATGAGTGCAAGTGGATATGGATCTGAGTATCCGTGATGATAGTCTGAACTAATATATCATTAACCTGTTATCCTTTACAATACGATTCTAAAGTGAAGTAAATATCACGCAAAACAATAACTGATGTCTTATACTTATTGTATTAATAATCTAACCGTTACGTAAAATATTCTAAGAGAAAAAGTATATAGCAAAAATTTCGAATTGATTTTATCGACATCATGTCACTCCTTTCAATCGCCGCTACGATTTACTTATTACTGCATATTATTTATTGATTTATTTTCATTGTGTTTCCCCTCTATTCTTGAAATGTATCTTTATCTACCCAAAGAAATATTAGGAATAATTAAGTAATCTTATTCATATTATTTGAGCAACGTAAAATACGCAAAGATAATCAATTATTCAGACTTTCTTAAAAGAAACTTTGAATTCTATAAAAAAAAAATCAATCCAATATAAATCAATAAACTCGTTCTTAAGATCTGAGGAAGAGGAAGAAGAGGCGCTGTGTGTTTTCTTTTTGAGGTTGTGCTTTACTATTGCTGTCATCCCTTTTCTTGTTAGCTCTGATAACAAAGACTAATATCTTTGTTCTCTCATTTGCTCCACTATTAATCATATTTGAGACTTCATTGGCTTTCATTTGTGCTCAATCCTAACCGTTTGTGTTTAATCTAATTGTAATTAATACTGTTAATTCTTTAAACTAACAACAAAAAACGCGATAGGTGAAAGGAGCAGTATGTCCACGTCCACTGTTATACTCAGTAATGTTCCTTTCAATTGTCAAGAGTCTGACATCCACCGAGCTCTTCTGATGTACGGCACGGCCATGGACATCCAGCTCAACCACCAGACTTCTCAGGCTGCCGTGACGATGCGGAATATTCAGGAGGCCCAGGCGCTCCTCAGTCGCCACACCGTCAATGTGATTGGGTCAACCGTGCGGGTTGATCCATTCGGACAGCCGCAGACCCCTCAGCAGCCGACGTACCCGCCATCGAACTTTTACAACCTGCCAGGGGCGGGGTCCGCCCCCCC